GGTTTCCGTCCCACAACGCAACACAGGTGCGGATGTTAGAGACGAGCCAGTCCTTTCGCCTCGGGAGCTCTGACTTGGAAGATCCGCCTTCCTGTTTTCGCCTCGATCTCCGCTTCTCTGCACCCGATTTGGATCGGCCAGGAGTCGTTCGAGAGCTCTCGACTTGCTTGTTCGGGGCTGTGTCAATCGGCTCGGCCTCGGTGCTGTGGGCTGCGCTAGCGGCGTATTTGTCTGATTTATTGCGCTGTCCACATGTTCCCGCTCCGTAGTTCCGGGCCCAGGCTCGTCGCTAGCCGTCTTTCGCGATCCGCTCTCAGCTAGCTCCGAAGAGCTCCCCAGAGCCATTCTTGGAAGCGGCCCCTCTACACCCGCCCCTCCTCCAGGACCTTTCTTCCTCTCGTACCATGGTCGCAGGAGAGCAGCATTCACCCAACGTTTCATTCCTCCGCAGTCGATTAAGAAGTTGCCCGCTTTCTGGTCGATAATGGTGTAGGGGCCTTTCCAGCGTTCTCTGAACTTGCTTGCGCCCGGCCCGTCATGATCCGGCCGATCGTTGTTCCGTAACTTGACCCGTTCTCCAATCCTGAATGGCCTCCACTTGTGAGCCTCATGCCTGGCGTCGTAATTTCGCTTATTCCGCGCTTGTCGAGCTTTGGTTTCGCTTCTAGCTTTCCATCGCAGTCGCTCTTGATGCTCAGCTGGATGTTTCCACTCACCCTGGTTCGGTAGGCAAGTATCGAGCGCAATCCGTGGTTCTCTGCCGAACAGTAATTCGAATGGCGAGACCTTGGTGGTTGATTGCATGCTGGTCCGATACGCGATCAGAACTTGAGGCAAAGCATCTTCCCATGCCAACTTCGTGCAGTTTATCCACGTCTTCAATGTCCGGTTGAACCGCTCGGTCATCCCGTTGGTTTGTGGGTGGTACGGTGAAGTTCGCCGTCTCTGGATGCCCCACTTGTCCAACACTGACTTAAACGCTCTTGACTCGAAGCAGGGCCCTTGGTCCGTGATGATACACTGTGGGATCCCATACCTTGCAGGCACATTGAATTCGAATACTTGCGACACTGTCTCGCCTGTTTGGTCCTTGATTGGTATGGCTTCCACCCATCGAGTGAAGTGGTCAATCATCACTAGAATGTATCTGTTTCCTGTTCGACTCACTGGTAAGGGCCCAAAGACGTCCAGTCCCCAACACTGAAGTGGCTCACCAACCTCCATCGATCGCATCGGCGGTCTCGGGGACTCCATCTCCCGACTCGTTTGGCAGTTTGGGCACTCCCGAAGGTATGCCGCGACGTCCTTCCTCATAGTTGGCCAAAACACTCGCCTCCGCAGCAATTCAAAGACCCGCTCGAATCCCATATGGGCGCCATCATGAGTTATGCGCATCACACGTTCTCGCTGATTTGGTGGAACAAAAGGCACTTTCCGTCCGTCTATCGCCACCACCACGTTATCGTTTTCGACCTTCAACCTGTCCCAGATCTTGAGGAGTTCCTCCACCTCCTCCGATGTAGCCTCCGGTTTGGTGCCAGCCCGTAAGTGAGAGCACAACACATTCATGAATTCATCTGTCCTTTGATCTCCCAGCAGGTTCCTCTCTCCCATCGCGAACGCACGCACCGGTATAGCATGGTCTGGCATGATGTCGTCCAAACACGGGCGTGACAACATATCTGGCAATACATTCTGCGTACCATCCACGTGCTCAATGGTGAAGTTGAATTCCTGCAATCGGTAGGCCCATCGCGCAAGCCGTCCCCGCGGGTCTTTCGCCGTCATCAACCACGAGAGCGGTTTGTGGTCAGTGACGACCCGGAATTCATTCGCCAGTAAGTAATTTCTCCACTTCTCTAACGCCCACACGATGGCCAAGCATTCTTTCTCCGTTGTTGAATACTTCTGCTCCGCCCCCGTCAGCACTCTGCTCGCGTACTCCACCACCCCAGCCGGTTGAGACAAAACCGCACCGATTGCCACGTTGCTTGCGTCGACCGCCACAGTGAACCTCTCACCAGGATTGGGTAGCCGTAGACATGTCGGGGCTTCTGCTATGCATGCCTTTAGCTGGTCAAAGGCTTGATCCGCTTCAGCTGTCCACACGAACGGCACGTCCTTGCGAAGCAGCTTTAACAACGGGCTGACCTTCTCTGCGAACTGGGGCACAAACTTTGAATCATATGCCACCACACCCAAGAACGAACGGAGCTGACGCTTGGATTTTGGTTTTGTGAAGCACTTGATAGTCTCGCGTTTCTCCGGAAGTGGATGGACTTGACCATTGCCCACGATGTGACCCAAGCATACAATTGACTTTTGGCCAATCTGCGACTTTTTACGACTGAGTTTCAGACCAGCTTCATCCAGTCTCTGCAGTACTGCTCCAAGTCTGGTCACATGTTCCTGTTCCGTCTCAGAGAAGACGATGATGTCATCACCGTACACAACCACGCCTTGCAGGTTCGCGAGGACCATCAGCAACAAACGCCTGAATGTAGCCGGGGCGTTGCACAATCCAAACGGCATTCTCAAAAACTCATACTGCTGGCCATTGACACTGAAAGCCGTCTTGTGGCGATCTTCTTCTGCGATCGGCAGTTGCCAATATCCCGAGCGGAGATCAATCAGAGATATCTGCTTCGCACTGTGAAGGCTTGAGAAAATTTCTTCCATCTGAGGCATCGGGAATGCATCCTTCACCGTCACCCTGTTTAGTTCTCTGAAATCGATGCAAAATCGATAGGTTCCGTCGGCCTTCTTCGTCAATAGCACGGGTGATGAATACGGGCTGTGCGTTCGCCTGATGATTCCTTTCGATTCCATCTCGGTCACCTGCTTCTGTATCTCCACCAGGGTGTTCTGTGGAATTCGTCTGAAGATTGGCTTGCATTGTCCTCCTGGGATCAACGGTATTCGGTGTTCAACCCAATTGCAAAATCCGTAATCATCTTCCGCGTCTGTGAATAAGTGGGCATACCTGCTCAGTACGTTGCGTATTGCACGGTTCTGACAATCAGGCACGGCTTTGAGGGCACCAACCCGGTCGGTTCTCCCCTTGTTTATCTCGATCGTCTCGTTAGCCACGATCACCACATCGTTTTTCAGGTCAATTGTGACACCGAGCCGTTTCAGGATGTCGGTTCCGATGATGGTTTCGGTCGTCTCCTCCACGATGAACATGTCATGGCGGATGAGCGTTTCTCCTATCCTGATTCGTAACCGCTGGGTGCCCGTCACTTTCAAAGAATGCCCGCCGACCGTCTGCATCGTGATTGAAGATGGATTCACTGGAACCCCGTTGAACCTCTTCGTAATTGACACTGCCGCTCCTGTGTCTACTATGGCTCGGACAGACACCCCTTCTATAGTTACATGGAGGACTGGTACTCGCCACCGACTCGGCATGGATAGAGAGAAACAATGGGGCACATTGACGTTGGTGCAGAATCTCGCCACATGACCATTCTGGTTGCATCGGAAACAGCGGCGACCGTTCCGGATTACCCGTACATTGCGTTGTGAAGTGGTGCTTGAAGACTCTATCGACAACAGCTGCTCCACCATTTCGGAAAGGCGATTTACTTTCTGTTCCAACTCAGCATGCTGGATGCTTCTCACTGTCACTCGCTCCGACAAATTCTGGGCGACTGTCACCAGATCCAACGCTTTGCTGTCTCCCACCAGCGACGCCAATTTCACCTGATCATGGAGTGGACCGGGCAGACTTCGGATAAACTGCTGTTTCAGTAGGCGCTCTCTTGCTTTGCCCTCTAACTCGGGGAGCCCAATCGTTAGATGTCTGTCCAGCTGCTGGAAAAACACCATCAAATCCTCCTGTTCGTCCCACCTGGCTGCGTGAAATCGTTGCAGTGCTCGTTCTCTCTCCAGATCCTTCCCAAATTCTGCACACAAGGCAGCCCTCATCTCAGCGAACGAACAACCGGGTTTGGCCTTTCGAGTGAGCAAATACACCGCCTTGGCTCGTCCACTCAACCGTGTGCCCAAAGCAATTAGCAAATTTGCATCCCCCCTCACACCCGTGCAAGCCGCAATTCCGTCGAAATCATCGAGCCACGCCTCCACGTCACCGGCCGCAAATTGCTCCAACCGGGTCAACTCCATCGCGATTGGTCACGGCACCAATGTAGCGAGAACGACACGACAGGGGGGTAGACGTTTATTGCACACCGAAAATGGGCACATGAGGGTCTCGCGCGCGCCATCGAATATCGACTAGGTTTCCGTCCCACAACGCAACACAGGTGCGGATGTTAGAGACGAGCCAGTCCTTTCGCCTCGGGAGCTCTGACTTGGAAGATCCGCCTTCCTGTTTTCGCCTCGATCTCCGCTTCTCTGCACCCGATTTGGATCGGCCAGGAGTCGTTCGAGAGCTCTCGACTTGCTTGTTCGGGGCTGTGTCAATCGGCTCGGCCTCGGTTA